CTTTTTTTTCGTGATTGAATATTCGTGCAATTGAATCCGGCTAACCTTCCTTGCGATACGACCCGGTGTTGAATCTTTCGATTCTACTCCGGTAAAAATACTTACAACAGTAACGAATTATATACTAACATAAGTATACTATATACCATTATAGTGATTTATCGTGTTATTAAAAAAAATAACGCATTATATACTCAGGGTGTGATTGGTTGGGGTGATTGATTGGGCTTTGATGTAATCAAACAATTTGGGGCCCATGTGATATTTTATATTGTTTAACTTGTTTGGTTTATGTTTTAGATTGTTTGATATGGGCCTCATAATGTTATTAACCTATTTGGTTGACAAAATATGATCCATTTCAATGCTTTATTGCTCCGAAAAGTATGTTGATTTCCAATTTTTACCGCTCACCAATAACAACAAAAGATTGAAAACAAACAAAAAAAAAAAAACCCTGCAGAAATTCAGAAACCCTTCTTCGACATTTCCGCGAAATGAGATGAGAGAATTGTCGTGTGCGTTCGATATGTCATTGTTGTTGGATAGCATACCTTTGGATTTTTTCGTCTTATCCAGCGTTCGATGGGAGGGGAGTCCGTGCATAACTAGATCCCAAGAAGGTGCGATTGACTATATTTTTTTTGGCTTTATGCAATTTAAATTCATATATAAATGTAAGCATATATAGTTTAGTGTTAGGGCTTGTGATTTTGTTTTTACAGCTTCTGTTGTGTTCAACAAATTGTTTGGACTATGATGAATGGAAAGTTGGAGCTATTGGTGTAGTTTGCAAATTGCTTCTGTTGTGTTTTGCAAATTGCAAAATTGCTTTTGTTGTGGTCTGCAAATCGCTAGTTTATTACAAATTGCTTTTGTTGAGTTATGCAAATTCATAAATATGAAGCTTTGTTTGATCTAACTTGGAGATAATCCCCATTTATTGGGTCGAACTTGATGAAGTAAAGTCACAAAATTTTTAAGGGTTTCCTATGTTTATCCATTGTGTAGTTTTTGAGAATGCCTGCCAATAAACCTCAAACGCGGAATGATGTCATCTCAAAAATATACCGGACAAAGGGTTGGAATGAGGAAGAGGAGGAATTCTTATTTCAGCAACTCCAACATGCAGCTCATAATGTATGTTTCAGCGAAATTGTGATGTTTGACACGTATCTTTGGCTAATAACTGGCAATTTAATAGAGAAGTTCCACAAAAAATTCACAATTCCCATGGTGAAGGAAAGAGTTCAAAAATTCAAAAATCAATATAACTTGTTTATGGAGTGGAAACAGACCCCTGGTTTCTATCATAAGGCAGACGACGATAGAGCGGATGTGGACGGACTATACTGGCAAACAATTACGAAGGTGAATTAGTTTTTGCGTTGTTGAGTTTTATATTAGTAGCGATAGATTCAGTTGTTATTGGTCTTTTATGTTCTTTGTGTTGTTTTTTGCAGAAGAGTCAAGAAAGTAGATTTTTCAGAACCTACGACATGAAACACTTTGTAACAACGCACCTATTGTTCTATGTGAAAAATGTTGCGCCGATTGTGTTTAACCTGAAGACATCGAAGTTTAAAATAAAAAGGAAGATGTTTCTTCGAGAAACACCTACTTATTACTCCTAGGTTTTTGTTTTATATTTTTTCGTTGAAGTCCATTCCAAAGAAGAATGGACATGGAATGTAGTAGTTAAAATTGGTGATATGCATACTTTTTAATAGGCGGTCTCATGTACAGACTTTCAGTTGGATATTAATGTTAACGATATTTTTTGGTTTTGAAATCATTTATTATGGAATTTAAGTTTCCTCTTGTATTACTTTGACTTTTGGTTTGTGTGTTTTAATGCATTGTTGCATTGTTCGTACTATGTTTGATGGAGTTTAAAGTTTTACAGAAATGTGAAAAGGCAAACCCATGCTCTACAGTGGGTTGTGGTTTTTGCTGGTTTGTTGTGTTGGAATTGGTGCTTAGAAATGTAGGTACCCATGGACGCTTCCAGTACATGGTTTCCTATTATTTTTTTATGTTGCAACTACTATTGAGTGAAGTGGATGAGTATGATATCTGGTGTCTATTTTGTTTTCTTTCTGCTAAAACTTCTGTGTTGGGGCCTGAGTTAAGCAAAGTGATCTGATTTGGTATTGTGTTGGTGCTTAAGTCAAAAAAACAAAAACAACAAATTCCTAACTAAGCAATCTAAAATCTATCAAACTAACTAACACAACAAACCAAAGAAGTCTTCAGTTACTACAACATAACCACTCCAAATCCTACCAAACCAACTACTAAAATGAAGTAAAGAAGCGTTCACTTACCATACCAAAACACATGATTGGAAAACAATGTCGTGGACATACAAAAAATTCAGCATCTTTTCCCAGCTTTGGTTGAAGGAGTAACTCAAAATATATTTTGTTGTTTCCCAATGAGTAACACCAAAACAACATCTTATGTTGTTTGATGAAGAAAAAAAAAATTACAAGTTCCTGGTAGCTTTATGTCTAAGAACAATCACCAAAAGTAAATGGAACAACTAGCAAAATATCAACCTGTTATTGTGCATGCTTCTTTGCACCCCAATGGCAAACACAACATTTTATAAGCTTTCATTACATATCATTAAAACATGCAAAAGTAAAAAAACAGAATCAAAGACTAAAAACCAAACACATAAGCACACACTTAACAACAATCTTGTTATTACAGTTTCGTTAAATATACAAAAGTAAAAAAACTGAAAGTAAGACTAAAACCAAACACACAATCACACACTTAACATTATTGTTGTTGTTATTTTCCCCACTATGCAATGACACAACTTGCTGTTGAAGTTCTTTATGCTTGTCTCGTAATTCATTCAATTTCATTCTCTTCTTTCTTAGTTTTTCCATTACACCTTGCATCATCTCGTCCTTGTTCCTCATTTGTTCCTCCAACAACTATTTCTCATGCTTAAGCTTCAAATAACAGTTTTTCTGAAATGACGACATCTCTTCATCAAACCATTGGAAAAATTTACAATCATCCGTCTGCAAGAAAAAAAAAAAAGAAAATACAATATGAATATGTGTTATATCTAGGAACATGATATTTTGTGCTCGAGAGGCTTACGTTTCGGTATTTGCATCTGTAATAGCGCCTACATGGGCTTTTATCGGTGTTGGACGTCAGAAATTCCGCCTCCTCATTGTGGCCACACTTCGGTTTCCATCCTTTGAAAGCAGTGTTGCTCCACGAAGAACTTTCAATGTCGTGGTGAGATGTTGAGCCCCGAGACATGTCCTAATACGTGAAGTATTTCACAAAGCCGAACATATATGTTGATATGTATTGTCCAGACCTCAATGTTGTAATAGAACTTGTGAATCGCACCTGCTAATCTCACCTGTTAATAATTTTCATCACGAATTAAAGAAATTATTAACTAACAAATGAAAC